ATGGACCCTTCATGCATCAGGAGGAGCAACCCAGGAGGTGGCCATATCTGGAGTAGGGTTGGGGGCTGGCTGTCGGCTTATGGGCATCCTTGTCCCCAACAGAGGCTGGAAGTGGCAGAGCCCCAACCCACAGCTCCCATGAGGCTGCCCTCAACCTACAGTTTTCAATGGAATTGGCATAAATAGACCTTCAGAGGGTCCAGCCAGTGCTCTGGCCCTTCTGAGATTCTGGGACCTTTCCTCATATCGAGAGAGAGAGAGAGAGAGAGAGAGAGAGAGAGAGAGAGAGAGAGAGAGAGAGAGAGAGAGAGAGAGACACCCCGTACTGACATACTGAATTTTCTACCAGTTTCAAAGAAGGTTAACATTGAGGTTGGATTTAAAATGAGTGATGGAAAATAACATTCTGTGATATTCCTTGTATATTTGAGATTGTAGACAAAGATTCAGATTGTCTGCAAACATGTTTGTGTATGCATATAAAGGGGTGAGGCAAAGTCCCTTCAAATTATTATGAGAGATTCCCTCTGGGAAGGGGATGGGGCTGGAGGCTATTGCTTTTTTTTTTTTTAATAATTTTATTTTTTAGAGAGGTTTAAGGTTCAAAGCAAAACTGAACAGAGGGTGCAGAATTCCATATGTCCCCTGTCCCCACATGTGCATAGCCTCTCTCACTATCAACATCCTGATGGCATACATCTATCTATGGTTTTGGATAAAAGCATAATGACATGCATCGGCCATTATAGTGTCATACAGGATAGGTTCACTGCCCTGAAATCCTCGGCTCTGCTGTTCATTCTTCCCCGCTCCCACCCCTGGCAACCACTGATATTTTTTATTTTTTTCCTTAATTCTGACTTTTCTAGAATGTCATAGAATTGGAATCAGTAAGCATATAGCCTTTTCAGATTCATTTAGTAATATGTATTTTAGGTTCCTCCATATCTCTTGTGTTTTCTTTTTTTTTTTTTGTACTGGGGATTGAACTCTGGGGGTGCTTTACCACTGAGATACATCCCCAGTCCCTCCGTTTTTTAATTTTGAAACACAGGTTCTCACTACGTTGCTGAGGGTTTTGCTAAGTTGCCGAGGCTGGCCTCAAATTTGCAATCTTCCTATCTCAGCCTTCTGAGTCACTAGGATTATAGGTGTATGCCACTGCACCTGATTCTCCACGTCTCTTGGTGGCTTGGAACGTGGTTTATTTTCACCATGGAGTGCTATTCCACTGTCTGGATGTGCCACTGTTTATATATTCACCTACTGAAGGACATCTTGTTTGCTCCCAAGTTTTGGTAATTACATGGGATCTGTTTTAACTTTATGTTTTTCCATTTTTATTGACTATTGTTCAAGTATGTATCATTTTAGTATAAAATAAGGAGGCATATTCTATAGTTACTATAAAGCACGGTTAAAAATATAGGGCTTTCTCTACCCCTTTACTTGTGCTTTTTTACTTTGTTGGTTTTAAACAAACCACTTTGTGTTTTAAAAATTTATGTGCAGATTAGGCAAACAGAATGAAGATCAAGACATATGGATATAAATGATATTATGCAGATTGTTACTAGACAAAAAAACATTTAAAAATCTTTTTATTATCTTGTTTGTGCTGGGCACTAAAGAAAAACGGATTCATTCAATCTCCACCCATATCTCCAGAAAGACTACTTTTGAACTGCAGTTTTTCTTTTCCCCTTTATTGTTTAGACTGAGAATTTTTTCAGAGAAGTTACCGACTTGCCTGAGGGTGTATAGAAAGAAAGTGACAAAGCTGAATTCAGAGCCTCCTGATTGTTGACATGGAGGATGGAGCCTGGTCCATATGTCCTCTTCCCTCTGTCACCTTTTACAACTGCTCCCTTCTGGCCTGCTCTGCTCCAGGAAGCTGATCCCAGAATCCCCTGCTATCCATTTGCTGAGGTCCATTAGGCCTGTTATCAATCATCCTGTTTGACTTCAGTCTATCCAACTGTCCCTAAAAATCAGCAACAGAGCTCAGAAATCCCAGTATTTTGCCTTCTGTGCTTGATTTCTCAGACTGTGTTTTGCTCCTGGAAATAGCATCAAATTTTGTGTGGGTGTTGTGCTGACTTGAGGTTTGGACAACACCCCTGTCCCATGTGCTGACCCACCACATACCCCTCTCTAGGCAGCCAGGTGGCTCCTCCCCAGACTGTGGCAATCAGAGAGCTTAGTTTTCCAAACTGTAGCCCACAGAAGGATGGATGGGCCAGGTCTGGCACCTGTTCCCTTTTTTCCTAGGACAGGTACTGGACCAGGTAACCTTCAGGCAGGATAATAGCACAGGATGGTCACACAGGCCAATCTGAGGTCACTGCTCAGGCATGGAACCTGGATAAATAACTCAGTCTCCTGAAGTTTCCATTCCCTTGCTCTTAAATTGAGGCTAATGATAGCAGCTGCCTCTGAGCTCTGTTGGGAGACCTCAGAGCTTGGTCTCAGTGCGTGTGAGCGATCAGTCCTTGGTATTTCCAGTCTCCTTCTGGTTGGTGGGCTCACTCATCACCTGGTGGGGCCATGTCTGCAGAGAGCAGCATCATACCCAGCACCACCACCCTGTCCACCAGCAGCACCCCTGGGAAGCAGCAGGGTGGATCATTTGGTGTGAACCTTGTGATTTGTTTTAATAGGTCAAACTATTATCAACAGAAGCATCAGGGGACCAAGAGAAATGGCATGTGGTAGACAGGTAATCCACTCTGCCCCCATACAGGTCCATGGCCTAATTCGTGGAACCTATGATATATGTTGCTTCATATGGCAAAAGGGACTTTGAGGATGTGATTAAAGATTTTGAGATGGAGAGATTATCTGGGAGGGCTATCTAATCTTAAGGTCCTTAAAAAGGAAAGAGCTAGGAGGATGAGACTTAGAGGAGAGATGTGATGGTGGAAGAGGGCTAGAGTCAGAGAGATCTGAAGGTGCTACTGTCTGGTTTGGAGGTGGAGGAAGGGGCTGGGAGCCAAGGAAGGCAGTGGGCTCTTCAGGCTGCACAAGCCAAGGGAACAGGTTCTCCCCTGGAGCATCCAGAGTGAGCCCTTCCCTGGCCCTGCTGACACCTTGACTCTGGCCCAGTGAAATCCTTTTCAGATTTCTGACCTCTGAAACTGTAAGGCAGTAAATTTATCTTATCCTGAGTCACTAAGTTGGAGGTAATTTGCTACAGCTGCCGTAGGAAATTAATGTGAGACATCTCAAAATGCTGGACTAGAAAGGCAGACCCAATGTTCACCTTGTTTTTGAATCAAGTGAATAAAATGGTCTTATCAGTAAGGCTTACACCAGTGGTGAATCATGCTGCCGTAGTAAGGCCCACTGACTTTGAAATGTGGGATCATGGTTTTCTATGTATTGACAAAGAGAGCAAGAGACAGAGAGAGGAGGCACAAGGAGAGAGAGAGAGAGAGAGAGAGAGAGAGAGAGAGACCTTTAAAAGGAAGTGTCCCAGTGCTTGGTGGTAAAACAAGGGATTTTACCTGGTCTCCTGTGAGGTGGCACCTGTGGGCTGATGGCATTGGTTCCCATGATGACATACTCATAGTGAACTCCTGGGTTGGGTTGCTGGTGTATCATCTGATGGTAGAAAAGTCAGTGTCACTGCTGTGGCACACATGTGCATCCCCTTTCCTGCTGACGTGGGTTACAATAGGACGAGTGGTGCTATTGCCCCATGAGAAGGTTCATTCACATCTAGTAATGTTAGTGACCCTGTGGCAGACGAAACCAAGCTATTTCCAGAGGACTTCTCATCATTTGAGGAACGAAGAACTTGATTCTTGAGCAGATCAGAAGCAAACTAGGCTGAGAGTCAAGATTTTATAAATACCACATAGGAAGCAGAACCTTTCTGTTGGTTGCCAGCCATTCTAGGCCATGGCTTTGCATTTGCTCCGTGCTCCCTCTATGTTCCACATAGATAAATAAGTCTCTGCTGCAGGAGAACCTGTTTGAACACTAGGTGGTGAGACATACAAACAAGGATGAAACCTCCTTGGCAGAGCAGGCCTGGAGCATTACGTTTCTTTAAAGTCCTCTACTTGGTCAGGGAGACTAGCTCAAGTTTATCCCTTGTTGGCTTTCTGCATCCCACCCCTTTTTCATCTATGGAAAGTTCTAGAATCACAAAGAGATGGGATCAGAAAAATGGTCATAAGGTAAGTAAGTTCTTCTTGGGTCATATTCTTTCAGGAACCAGTGACAAAGAGATAGGACAGCAAGCAGGAAGCTACTGGAAGTCAGCCCTGGAAGAGTGTCTGGGATGAAAACACATCTGTGAGCAGGGCCTGTGGAGTAAGCGCCCCCTATTGTCTTTGGAGCACAAAGTCCTAATGCCCATTGCTGTCACTGGGGGAAGCAGGGCTTGGGCTCAATGAAGCAACAGAAAGAGGATTTACAGTATTTGAGCCAAGCAAGGAAATGCTGCCATGTTTGACGAAGTGGCTGTCTATCTGGCCATCTGTGATCTAGAGCAAGTCTCTGAATCCCACAGTTTTTTGATTTCTTCATCTGGAGAAAAGAGGAGGTAAGAGTCACAGTTGATTTCTTAGGTCCTGTGTTCCTATGGTACCGCTGACTGGCTTTAGCACGGGGTGTTGGGAGTGTGAGGGGGTGGGGGTTCCTGTGCCTGTCCTTCATGTTTATGTCATCATGCCATCATCTCTCACCCCCTACCTCCTTGTGGAGTGGGTCTCCATCCCATCAGTCACCCAGAGGTAGGCTGACATGAAAAGCACTGGGCTTCCTACACCATGAACCCATCCCAACTCAGGGGTGTTGTGTGGGAATGTGGTAGTGAGCACAGAGCCCTGAAGGACACAGTTGTGTGACTGTGGGTTCCTGCTCTCTACCCCATCCCCCTCACCTACACACTCTGTTACTGCCCCCATTCCTCTCGTGCCTCTTCTGCCAGTTCAAGCCTTATCCTGTTTATGAAATTATTGTTGGCCGCCTTTCCAAGACCACCCACAGCAGGCCTTTCACAACCCCAGTCTCTGATACCATTTCAAATTTAACCAGAGTGAACCCACCAAGTGGATAGCTTTAAAAAAAAACCCAAATTGACTATAACAAGGCTTTCTTTGTAATTTCTAGTCCACTACATAGACCCAAGAGGAATGGACACAGAACTGTAGAGTTGAAGAAATAATCACAATGCAATTAATTATATTTCTAAAACTCTAACACAGCAAATATTATGTAGACCAGCAAGGCTTTGGGGACAGAGTACGTATATTTATTGGTGAGTTCATTCATTCTTTTTTTTTTTTTTTGTGAGCTCATTCTTTTTATCCAAACATAATTTTAAGCTTTTATTTCTGGTCATCCTTTATTTCCTGATCTTTTCAGGAGACTGGATTCTAGTTGTTTCTTTTAAAAAAAAATAGGGATCTTTTAAAACTGTTTGGCAACTTGATATTCTAGTTTTAAATAAAGTAGATTACAGTTCTCCTTTGTGAAGCGAGGAACTTCTAGTAAACCTCGAGACTGTTGCTCTAAGCTTTATCGTTTCATCTGGAGGGGTCTGGAGCGCTGGATTCTTCATTTGCTTTAGCAGAGTTTGAAGAGGGCTGGGAGCTGGGAGCGGTCTTGCATTTGACATTTGCTTTCTTTTGCCATGAAAAGAAAACATGCCCAAATTAGCGTTAGGAGGGAAGTGCCTGGAGGAGATCCAGTGTTCATGAAATAAAGGATATGTTTGCCTCTGATTTGGTTCAACAAGTAAAATTGGTTTTACTGGGTCAATAAACGCTGAGAGTACCAAGCATCTGGTAGAGTTTAAAGTTTCTATGAGCGGGGTACATTCAGGGGTAAATGACAGCGATGAGTGCCAAGCGTTGAAGGGGTACCTCCAACCAGCTCCACGCAAACCATTTTGTGGAGCCCGAGGAATGATTTATTGCTTATTTGCCCTAAGTGTGTTCTTTGGAAGCAACCAGATACAGAATCTAGAGAACAGCCCAGAACCATCTCTACTCACATAGACATCCAAGATTTCGTTAGTGGGACCTTCGGCCAAAAAGGACTCGCCAGCAGTGCTCGAGATCTCATTGGGACGCTTGTAGGTGAACATGGTCCCTCCGCCCTCATATTTTCCAGGACGGTCAATCGCCCAGTTCCCATTGATGATGGAGCGGCCAGAACGACTTCGTAAGGCTGTGGAGAAAAACAAGAGCCCCTCCGATGAGTCCCTCAGATCAGTCCTCCAGAAACTGAGCCCACCTCCCCAGCTGCTGGCCCATTCCTCCGTCCAGGGTTTTGTCGTGGTCCTCTCTGGGCCGCGTTCTTCCACACCCCTGACCAGGGCCAGGTGTGGAGAGTCTTTAACCCGCTCCGTTTCCCTCTACCACTTGGACTTAGTATAGGCCCGGAGGATGGGAGTGGTTAGGAGAAAAGAATGCAGAAAGGGAAAAGGAAAGAAGAAAGTTAGGGGTGGGAGACAAAAAGAGGGAGAAGGGCCACGAAGTTGTATTGTATGCCATTATCTAGGTGAGAGGTTGCATGTGGGCCACCCAGTTGCTGATTTTAGCCTGTAGATGGGCTTGATGTGGCTTATGTAGTCTTTTTCTTTCTTTCTTTTTAAATAAACCCAAATTTGAGAATTGGGAAGTTTTATACATTACTGCTTAGCAATGTAATTTCTAGTCCACTACATAGACCCAAGAGGAATGGATACCGAACTGTAGAGTCGAAGAAATAATCACCATGCAATTAATTATATTTCTAAAACTCTGACACAGCAAATATTATGTAGACCAACAAGTTTGACAACATTGCTAAGCAGACTTATTCTCATTTTTTCAGATATGGGTTCAGAGATGCGAGGGGACTAGTTGAAGTTCACCAGGACCAGAGTGACAGATCTGTGCTTTGAAATCCACACTCAGGAATCAGGTGATAAAAAAGAAAAGGGAAAAGGAACAAGGTGTTTAGATCAGTGGAGAAGAAAGTAGAATTTCCTTAGATACATCTGACACGTTGAAACTGGCAAGCCAATGGTGGATTGGGCTGAGAGATGTTCCCGTTTTTAATAGTTGTTTTTTAAAAAATATTTATTTGTTAGCTTTAGGTGGACACAATATCTTTATTTTCATGTGGTGCTAAGGATTGAACTCAGTGCCTCATGCATGCCAGGCGAGCGCACTACTACTTGAGCCATATCCCCAGCCCCTAATAGTTGTTTTTTTAAATAGTTGGACAGAATGCTTTTATTTTATTTATCTTTTATTTATCTTTTTAATGTGATGCTGAGGATTGAACCCAGTGCCTCACACATGCTAGGCAAGTGCTCTGCCATTGAGCCACAACCCCAGCCCCAGGATGTTCCAGTTTTAAAAGCCATATACATAGTGACTCCAGGATGGCCACTGGCTCTTTGTGCCTTCATTTTACAGAATACTTAATTTAACTTTTTATAATTTAGTGTGAAAAATTTTGTCCATAAAAGTAGAGAGAAGAGTACAATAAGTCCTTACATATGCATCAACAAGCTTTGACAATGACCAACTCATAGCTTATCTTATTTCACTTTGCAAATTCCAGATCTTATTTATCCTTAAATCTTTCAGTAGGTATCACAAAAATATAAGGATTCTTTCTTTGTTAAACCCACTTTCAGCAGCATTTCTATCATGAGTCTTCCCAGAGACCAGACCTGCACCGGCAGAAGCTTCATGAGGGTGAAGAAGGGTCTCCAAACTCATGCATCTTCCCCTGCACACACCACCCTTGGCTGGCTGGTTGCCATGGATACTGGGAGAGCACAGGTAGGGAGCTCAGAATACTGTGTTATAAAATCAGTTCAGCTTATTGAGTGGCAAAGAGTCAGGGGTGAAGACGAGGAAGACAGGTTTGAAACTGTTTTTTCTTTTTTAAATTAAAACAGTTAAAAATAATGCCCCCATTATTTCGCTGAAAAAATTCAAATGAATGTCACCAAGGCCACCATGCTGCTAAACCCAATGGTTCTTTTTGGGGTCTCATCTTCCTAGTTGAAGGAGCGGCCTCTAGCTCTGCTTCATTCGATTGCAACACTCTCCCGTTGGATTCTGGGACCCTGCACTCAGCTTGCTTTCCTCTTGCTCTGAGCCTGTCCTGCTTTCTGTTTCATTGTTCTCTATGTAGCCACTAAGTATTAGAGTTCCTTAGGATTAAGAGTAGACCTGTCATGGGCACTGAATTCCTTTTCTGAGCAATTTCATTTATGCCAAGGCTTTAATTAGTATATGCCAGAGACTTCCAAATTTAGTTCCCAGACTTTGCCTCTGGCCCCAGACTTTTACATCTAATTGCCTTCTTGACAGCTTCATTTGGGTATCTTAAGGCTGAACTTATGCTGGACCTTTCAGTTTCTGATCCCAGGAAATGTATCATCATCCATCTAACCAGAAACTCAGGAAACATCATAGGCCCAGTCTCTCTTTTTAACCTCTTGTATCTAATCCATCTTAAAGATTTTATTTAATCTCCTGCCTATTGCTTGAACCATCTACTTCTCTTCATGTCCACTTCCATAATTCAGGGCCAAAATACTATTACATCTTATTCAGACTCATTCAAGAGCCTTCTAATTGTCCTTCCTATTTTCTTCTTCTCAGCCAGACAAGATTTCTTTATTCTTTTCAGGATTCAGATTGGATTACCAACTATGGCTTAAGCTCCTTGAATGACTTTCATTAAATCTCAGGGGTAAAAATAAAGCAAGCCCAGTTATTTTATATACCCAACTGATGTAGCCCCAGGCTCTCCTGTCTCTCTGTGCTCTGTTCTACTGTATCAGCTCATCAAAGACATCATGTTTTCTCCACAATGTTGCCTCTTTTTTTCTGAAAATTCTGCGCCAACTCCAAATCCTGTTCATTCCTTAGATATTGGCTGTCCTGGGGAGTTTTTTTTCCCCCATCCTGTCCAGCCTGCATCTTCCCTGGTATGCTCTATGAGATGCAAAAGGCTTCCTTCAAGGCCTTTAACTCAGTTTGCATATAAATCTATCCACATAACTATTTGATTAATGTTTATTTCCCAGGACATTGTAAGATCCCAAAGGGCAGAGACTGTGGTGTTTATTCATTGTTATAGTTATAAGGCTCAGCACAGTGTTCACATAATAGGAACGTAATATATATTTGCCAAAAAAGGTAGAATGCTCAAATGATAGGCCAAGAAAGATAAGTAGGCAATTCACAGAAAACCAGGTACAAGTATACTATAAGCAAACAAAAAATCGTTTTGCCTTACATATAATTTAAGAAATGCAAATCAAAATCTTGCTTATAGCCAAAGCAATCCTTAGCAAAAAGAGTGAAGATATTTTTGACCCACCAGATTGGCAAATATTAAAAAAAAATTACTATTGCCAGTGCTGAACCTATTTAGCCACGCTGGAGATCAATTTGGTTACACTAGTAAAACTTTAAATGTCCACACAATTTGATGCAAGAATTCTACTTCCTCAAGTGATAGCCTTTTGTAAGTATACAAAAATATTTTATTTCTTTTTAAAATGTAATTAATTAATTCTAATTATGTATATATGGCAGCAGAATGAATTTTGATTGATTGTACACAATTGCAGCACAACTTTTCCTTTTTTCTGGTTGTACATGATGTAGCATCACACCATATGTGCAGTCATACATGTACCTAGGGTAATGATGTCCATCTCATTCCACCATCTTTCCTGCCCCCATACTTCCTCTCCACCCTCCCTCCCTTTGCCCGAAGTTCCTTTATTGTTCCCCATTCCCCCACCCCTCCATTATGGATCAGCATCCACTTATCAGAACATTTGGCCTTGGTTTTTTGGGATTGGCTTACTTCACTTAGCATGATATTCTCCAACTCCATCCATTTAATTTACCTGAAAATATCATAATTTTATTCTCTTTTAATGCTGAGTAATACTCATTGGGTATATATACCACAGTTTCTTTATCCATTTATCTGTTGTAGGGCATCTAAGTTGGTTCCATAGTTTAGCTATTGTGAATTGAGCTGCTATAAACATTGATCTGGTTGTGTTACTATAATATGTTGACTTTAAGTCCTTTGGATATAGACTGAGGAGTGGGATACCTGGGTCAAATGGTGGTTTTTCCAAGTTTTCAAAGGAATCTCCATACATGCTTTCCAGATTGGTTGCACCAATTTGCAGTCCCACCAGCAATGTATGAGTGTGCCCTTTTCCCCCACATCCTCACCAACACTTATTGTTCACAACTGCAATTCTGACTGGTGTGAGATGAAATTTTATAGTGTTTTTGATTTGCATTTCTCTAATTACTAGAGATGTTGAACATTTTTTCATATATTTGTTGATCGACTATATATCTTCTTCTGAGAAGTGTCTGTTCAGCTCCTTAGCCCACTTATTGATTGGGTTGTTTGTTTTTTTGGTGTTAAGTTTTTTGAATTCTTTATATATCCTGAAGATTAGTGTTCTATCTGACATGTGTGTGGCAAAAATTTGCTCCCAAAATGTAGGCTCTCTCTTCACTCATTGATTGTTTCTTTTGCTGAGAAGAAGCTTTTTAGTTTGAATCCATCCCACTTATTGATTCTTGATTTTATTTCTTGCGCTTTAGGAGTCCTGTTAAGGAAGTCGGGGCCTAATCCTACATGATGAAGATTTGGACCTACTTTTTCTTCTATTGGGCATAGGGTCTCTTGCCTAATTACTAGGTCCTTGATCCACTTTGAATTGAGTTTTGTGCATGGCGAGAGATAAGGGTTTATTTTCATTTTGCTGCATATGAATTTCCAGTTTCCCCAGCACCATTTGTTGAAGAGGTTATATTTTCTCCAATGTATGTTTTTGGCACCTTTGTCTAGTATGAGATAACTGTATTTACCTGGGTTTGTCTATGTGTCTTCTATTCTGTACTATTGGTCTACATGTCTATTCTGGTGCCAATACCATGCCATTTTTGCCACTATAGTTTGTAGTATAGTTTAAGGTCTGGTATTGTGATGCTCCTGCTTCACTCTTCTTGCTAAGGATTGCTTTGGCTATTCTGAGTCTCTTATTTTTCCAAATGAATTTCATGATTGCCTTTTCTATTTCTATATGGAATGATATTGGGATTTTAATTGGAATTGCATTGAATCTGTATAGCATCGAATCTATAGTTTTGGGTAGTATGGCCATTCTGACAATA